ATTAATAGAGAGAATACCAAATTTGTTGTTAATTTGAACAAAAACCACTGGTGTTTCATTGTTCACAATTCTTGCTGTAAAAATGACACTCAAGATACTTTATCACACCCTACCAAAAATTTCATTATGATGGTAACTCCCTGGCTTGCTGGAGAAATTGTGGAAATACAAATGCAAATCATTATGTGTTTTGGGACTGTCATGTTATTAAAACTTACTGGAAGGGAATACATAATGCAATACATGTGGAGGGACATCACAATGGACATTTGCAGGATGGAGAGAATGACAGCGGATGTGAATTACAAGAGGGACCTATTTGTTTCACGTTGGAAGAAATGGACTGTATAATACCACGCAGGCCGGACTTTGACTCTGCTAACCTGAGATAATACACTGTGTGTGTATGTAGCAATAACCCCATCTCACTCCCTATGTGTTAATGTTTTTCTTTATTTGTGTGTGTTCTTTTTGTCCTAACAAAAAAGGACATTCAGGCTGATATTCTGTGACTAATAATTGAAGTAGATGTACATACTACATTTGTCGCTGAATGTCAATAAAAAGTGAATTAAAAAAAAAAAAAAAATGACACTCAAACACTGGACGCTGTCAATGTATCAGTAATGCTCCATTGTCACAACAAAGATATTCTCAAGCCCTGTAATGGATGCATTCAGGCAATGCTGTCGCTGACTGTTTAGCATGTTGGATAGTTTATGTTTCCAAAGACATATCAACTTCACTTCACCAACAGTGTTGGGCAAGTTACTATTAAAATGTAATACATTACATATTAATAGTTACCTTCGTTTGAATGTAAAAAGTTACTTCACAATATCACTCTCTGTGTAGAGTAGTAATTCACCAAAATAACCTTAGAAGAATGATTAGGTTTTTTAAATGGATGGAGGTCATGTTGTTTCACAGCAGCTAATCAAAGCACAGAAGCTCTAGTTTATTACAATTCATTTCAAATCCAGTGCTGCGCAGGTCTGACCAAGTCATGCATTCACATACAGTGGTTACCACTTTGTATTAAAATTCCTTGCTTATATTAATAGTAGTGTGATAATACAGAACAATTAAATAGCCTAGACCTTTTAAAATATATGAATAGCCTTGGACACAGTGAGGGTCAGGCAGAGGATCTGTAAATTGTAAGATATAGATAAATATATGTGGGCCTATGATATGAATCACAACAAACAAATATTGAGGTTAGCACAACAAACGGATTGGCATGCACAAATTAATACACCAGAGCTGGAAGACCCACCTGCCGGTTCCCAGTGTGCCGGTCAGCTACAGCACCGGCACCGAGAGTTATGCATAAGAATGGGGCTGTGCTGGCTTTGCTCTGCAGTTGTAGTAGATGTGAATGGAAACATATACAATATATACTAACATCATTCGGGCTAGATGTGCAGGCCAGCTCCTTACTCCTGCTGCTATCAAGCAGCCTTAGGACGCAAAATCCAAAGGGAAACATTGTAGACATTGCAGGTGTTTTAATGGAAACACACCGAACATGATAAGGCACAGTCCCAGATGTGCCGATCACCAGCACCCTTCTAGGCCTATAATGTAGCCTGTAATGACATGACACGACACAACAACCTTCAGATGATATTTTTTTCTGGTGGTGCATTGGTGGAAATGGAGTGGTGTGGATCAGTGTGGATAAATGAAAAATAAAAACGATAAACAGTTTATTTTGGGTGGTAATGTTTTACTGTAACGCGTTACCCCCAACACTACTCACCAATATCAGCACACAGTTTTGGTCCATTCCCCCAGTCTTTGTCAAGTGTTGCTGTGACATTTTTCCCCTCACCTTTTAATTTCTGAATGCTGTACAATAATCAGCAATCACCAATGGATGAACATACAGTCATAACAGTACATTGAGTGTCATCATATCCCCCATCGCTTCCCTCACCACCATATTCCCAAGTAAGCAGACGAACAAACGAAAAAACGAAACAAAGTATCCAAAAGCAGCTACACATTTCTAAGTAATACTATCATTACATGTCCTTAATTTATAGTGTACCTTTATCCTTAAAGGCTCATGACCTGAAAGTTTTCCAAGCAAAAAAATAACAGAAACCAAAGGTCTTGAAAAGTATAATAACAGTCATGTTTCTCTAGAGTTAATCTAGGTTTAAGGTAAAAACTGTCTTGGTTTAGGAACGGCTCAAAAGTTGGAGGAGATTCATTTTTCCAAAGTAAAACTATCTTAGCAAAATATGTTACAGTAATTAATACTCTGCATTAATGAATTGAAAATAGGGCATATCATTTAATATATCTACACAAAGAAAATTGTCTTTGGCTTCTCTCAAACACAGCAAATTACATACAGACACAAAACACCATTAAAAAAGTACAGTTTACAGTATATATGATAAAATATTGCAAAATGGCAGATATGATCAATCAGTCATATAGATAATAAGAGAGAGCACATCTTATAAAATGAGTGTTCTCTGATACAGACATTCTGTGTTCATTGTCTGTAAGGCACAGGAAATAAAGGACTACTTATATGTGTTCCAACTGGTTCTTGGGACCTTAGTCGACACCCAGACGGGAGCAGCTCAAATTCTGAGTGTAATGGATGTGAGATATCGGCAATTATGTGTTTGGCCTTCCTGCGTACAGCACTGTCAAATGTATTGCTAAGTTGTTTCTGTGACTTGCCTATCACCTTCCCTGCAATGTTGACAGTCTTAGAGAGCTTGTTTTTGCTCTTTGCATTTTGGTTGCTGTACCATGCTACAATGTTAAATGATAAAATGCTTTTAACCAGGCTTCTGTATGCTAATTTAAGTATGCGTTGGCTAACACCAAAGCTCTTCAGCTTCCTGATTTAAAACAGACACTGACTGGCTCTCTTAAAAATGCTCTGAGTTTTCATGGAAAGTTAGTGTCTGATCAATAATTATACCCAAGTACTTAAAATGTTTTACTTTTTCTAGAGGGTGGTTATTGAGTATGACAGGGAGGCTCCATTTGGTTCTGTTTGTGTCGTAAGATAGAATTAATGGATTAAATTCCAAATTAAATTTGGCTTTGCCAAAACAGATTTATAAAGAGCCGTACACATGCCACGTCTTTAACTGCCAGGAAAATGCAAGGTTGGGTGCTGGGTGCTACTCTTGTGCCTTTTGCTAGGCAACCTCAACCATTATCGTATCATAGCCCTTTTACCTGAAATCCTGAGCGCAGAGCTGATCTTCTTCTAGGCGCTATTTGTGTAGAGGCCTATTGTCTGTGGGACAGTTGTAAAGCTCTGGCAGCCTTGTACTAAAATGGTAAAATTTATCACAGACTGATATTTATGGACAAAGGGAAAGATATTTGTTGGCTGTGATTAGTTGGTCCTCATCACATGCAGTGCACACTGCTGTGCTGTTAAAGTTGAACTCTGTTTATCTCAGGGCGCAGCTGTTGTGCCCTGAAAAAAAAAAAGGTGCTTGGGATGGCATGCACAACGCAATGGCTTCGCTCCAGTGCCTGCCGCATGTTTTCTTACTGTTACCTACATAAAAAATGTATTCTTTCACAATAGTTAGCCAGGTTTTTTCATCTAAGACCATCTGTAGATCGTTTTCCTAGATATTTAATACTGTTAAGATGAATGAACTCCTAACTTATGTAACTTACTGGAAAACCATGATGCTTCCTAATGATAATCTCAACGACATTATAGGCTCTGCCACACCTGGAAGCTTTCTCATTTGTCTTGTCGCAATATCTACAATGCATGTTGCCTGACCTTTACATCCAAGGGCTAACTCCTTTTGCATGGTTTAGGTGGCAGACATTTATATTTAAAGTGCCTTGTAGTGCAGAATGGCAAGTTCTTTACATGAAAAAATAACAAAATAACAGAATTACAGTGAAGACCAAATGGAAGTAAAAACACCATAAAAAGAAAAAATCCAACAAAATTACACAAAGCTAAGTTGGTAAGACTTCCAGAGCTCTCCTGGTAAAACGTGCACTTTAGAAGTTACCGTTTTTTAAGCTGTAGTCTAAATCAGATTGTATTAGGTTATTTTAGCTGTAACTGTTTTCTTCACAGGGCATACCCAAATAAAGAATACTAAATATTGAAACTCATACTGAATTGAACAGGTTGTACTGAATGGGTTGGGACTAATACTCATAACATTACAGCCCAAGCTATCAATAACCAGCACTACATTTTTATTCATTCTGCAGTTCAAAGATTGCTTAAAAGTAATAAATTGGTAAGATTGGTCCAAGATCAGAAAGCCACTAATTGTAATCAAAATGTGGTGATGCTAAAATAAAAAATGATTCATAATTCCTAAGACAAGTTAAAAGATTTGTCAAGGTTTTCCTCTTTGGCTGCAGTCATTAGGCATGTGTTACCCAACAAGAAAGCAGTTGACCCAGATGGAGCTTCTGGTCCAGTTCTGACTAAGAAAAGTGAAAGATGTCTCTGATCGCTTCATAACTCTGGGACTTGTCTGAAATATTTTTTTGTTGTGGCTGTGTTTTTTTCTCTTAAATTTTGTGTCATTTGTTGATGTAAATTATAATCCCAGTTTGAGTATTGTTACTTGATATCTTGTATCCAGTGGGTTTTTTTTTTTTTGTTATTTTTGTATAAATCTTGCTGCCTGCAGTTGGTTGCACTTTTGAAAATTGTCCACTAGTGCAAGTTATCAGTGAAAGTTAAATCAAATATGAGCTAACCACTAACCATCGCCCATTTTCAAGAAATTATCCACTAAGCAGTGGCATGCGTGAGGAATCCAGTCTAAAAGTTGTATTTCTCATAGTTGTAGTTTTTCTTTTAAAGGTTGTGGCTGCAAGCAATTTCTCAAAAAATATGTAACTCTTAATCCGAAAAAAGCATGCTGGCTCACTTGGCGGCTTTTAGTTGTTTTCATGCACCGTGGTTTATGGCTGAAGCCTGCGTGCACTCATTGGACTCTGTGTGTGTTTCCATATGTTTACAGGACTACAGTCTGGGTGATGACACTGTGATGGATAAGATTAATTTAGCGGAGCCAGATCAGTATGAGCTCCCTGACCTCAGCGCTGAGGAGCAGGCTGTCATCCTGGGCATCTGGTAAGTCAGCTCAGCACTGTTTCTGCAGCACTCTGTTTGATCCAAGCTTAAAACACAGTTGTGTTAAAAACAGTGTGACAACAAAGGCTTTGTGTGTTCCAGTCTTCACAAAGAGAGTACTTATATCATGTTAATCTACCAGTTGTGTAACCTGAACTTTAGATGGTCCTGCATTACACATACATACATGCATACAAACATGCATTATTTGTTTTTCTGTCACGTCAGGAGATACTGCCTCTGATTTGGCTAACATCTTGGAAAACATGTTAAGCCTTTACACGTTCATATCACATATCCATTAATGTACACTTGATAACCCATAGTGACAAATTTATTAAGAATCAAAATGTATTATGAACATAAGTATAATTCAGTACCCTGTAGAGCCCCCCTTGGCTGCAACTACAGCTCTGAGTCTGCTTGGGTAAGCCTCCACAAGGTTTGCACACCTGGACTTTGGAAGTTTATCCCATTCTTCATGGTAGATCTTCTCAAACCCCATCAGAATGGATAGAAATGTTGTGGGGTTTAAGTCTGGGCTTTGGCTGGGTCACTCAAGGACAGTTTGACTTGTCCTGAAGCCACTCCAGTGTTGTTATGGCTGCATGCTTAAGGTCATGTCTTTCCCTTAATACTGACCAGTCTCCATGTCCCTAACGCTGAGAAGCACCCCCTTAGCAATATGTTGCCACCACCATGTTTCACAAAATGGTGAGCATGGTGGTGGCAACATCAGTGCTAGTGATCAAAGATTATTGTCAAAAACAGTAGAAAATTCTCACAGACCAAAGTTCCTCAGTCACTGCTGGCTGAGCCACCTTGAGCATTTTAGCATACTAGCCTGTGTTATTGTGCACAGGGATCATGTAACATTGTACGTGTGTTTGATTTGGGTCACTTAGTTTGCTCACTAGGTCGAGTATTAAATGAGTGATTAATTAACATAGATGCAACCTTTTTTAAATATGCTGAGAAACAACTATTTTAACCGTAACCCATATAGACGTGATCCTCAATTTGATTGCATTGTTGTGCATTTGTAGGGCTGTTGTTCACATTCAGCTATGCATGTAATGAAACAAGGCAAATCTTCTCACTGTTGCTCATGTCACAGAGAAAATAAAAATTGTCCACACAGTTCCTGAGGGAATATAAATAAAGTCCAGGTAAAGCAAAAATAAATATTTGGAAGGAGTTTGTCATACCACAGAAAAATATGTCATCAACCACCCAGCCAAATTTAAAATATCAGAATCCCACCAAGCATATAAAGTTAGGTCTCGAAGTTGTGAATAAACAAGCATTATTCTCTCCTCTGAGACGCTGGGGACATGTCCGTCAAAGAAGATGAAACAAAGATTTCGTCTCTGCAATGTGACAGTCTCTCATTAGCAGCTCACCCAGTAGCACTGAACACGAATACACCCCAGGCTAAAGAACAAGCCTCCGCAACAACAGAGTTGCATTAGCAGCTAACCCAGTAGCACACACAGTCTATGGTAGCACAGCACACACCCTCCAAACCAAAGAACGAGGGAGACGCTGTGTAGTGATAGCCTCTCATTCAGCAGCTAACATTAGCACAAAGCACACACCTACTATAGTGAGCCATTACTGCCAGTGGGCTGGGTAGCTGATTCTGAGACTGAAAGGTACATTAGTTACAGCTGTTTTGCATGTGTTTATGTAATTGTTGCATTTAACAAAGATGTGCTTTGTGCATATATTAGACTGAAAGTGCTAAGAAAGCTTGTGGGATATAATGAAACGAAATGACACTGATGCTATGTGCTCTGAAGCTAGCAGTGATGAAGTTTTTATATCAAAGTTTTTATATATTAGGGAAGGGGTTATGTTAAGGATGACTTCATTGCGTCATCCAGCCACGATTAGAGGGCCGCCCAAAAATCCTGGATATAGAAATGACACAAAAATTTGAACAGTCCAACTCCTAGGGGTGGGAGAAAAAAATCTATATAGCAAAGTATTACGATATTTTGTGTGGCAATATCGTATTGATTTTTCAATTATATAAATGAATATTATTACTAATACAGATTTAACTTTAGGTAGTGTACTAGAATAATATAATTAGGTGCTTTTTAAGTCCTTCTGTCTTTCCTTCTGGGACATAATTTACAGTTGAAAAAAGGGTAATAAATTGCAATATATCCCAATATATTTTATGATGATTCTCAGCATATCGCAACATGTTTAAAATCGCAATAATATTGTATCTTGACCTAAGTATCGTGATAATATTGCATCGTGGAGCCTCTAGTGATTCCCACCCCTACCAACTCCACAATTCACATAATTCACAGTCTTTTCACACGTTTTCAACAAGTATTTTCTAACATGTAGAATGTGTTGAGAAGAAATATATGATTTTGCTTTACCCAGACTTTAAAGAATGATTTTGTACTGTATATCTATTGGTATTGTAGCTTGCTATCAATAGCAGAAATAAGATGCTAACTGTTGGGTTAATGGATTTTGTTCAGTTTAGCGCCAGGCTTTTCTGCCATCATTTATGTACTGTTAACCAAGAGTGTTGTCTTGCAGCACTGACTTCCAGAAGAATAACCCTGTACACAAACTGACTGCAGAGGAACTCCTGGCCTTCACATCTGTAAGTAATAGTTTATTTTTTTTGTGAATTGTTATTTCACTACAGAAACACTGTAGTTAGATATGCTTATTTTGCATCCTTCTGACCATAAGACTGAGTCAGAAGTCAGAAATACCTGATGAAACAAATTTTCATGTATTTGCAGTTTAAGATTTTGCCTTATTTAACACAGCAGCCACACATGTAAGGATAATAATGTGTCTATCAGTGTCCTCTTTTTCTTTGAACATCACTCACTGTCTTAAAACCTTCAATCCCTCAGACTTTGAACAATACCTCAACCTTAACGGTACTGAAATTAGACAGTTTGCAGTCTAAATAGACAAGTAAAGACATTGTATGTGACTTTCTAAATGCCTTGACTTTCCTGGACTAAATGAAAATGTTTGTGGTGGACTCAGAGTCCTGGTCAGTATTGGTCTTAATTGTCTGTAACTGACTTAAATGTTTATAACTGCCACTCCACTGTTCGTATGACACTGTTTTCAAGGTGTTTGTTAAGAAATATCATCATATTTCTGAGGCTGTCTTACTCATCATATTTTTTATTTCTCATCAGACCCAAACAGAATCTGCTTTTTCTTTAGTTTTCAGAAGTGATGCAGAGTAAAAAACTGCAGAGTTTAGCAGATTGTTTTTTTTTTAACTTGTAATGTGATGGACAATTCTCATTTAAGATATATATTTTTTAATCTGTGGAGGTGTTGTTCTTTGGGTACAGATTCCGTGTTGCCAACATATTCTCTTCCCCTGCAGTGATTAGTCAACAACACCAATACTAAGCTGAAGGCTATCTTTTTTATAGTGTTGCATCAACAAACTGAAGAAGACTCCATCCAAACACAAACCACTGTGCAGAACTAATGAAATGACTCACCTAAAGGAGAACTGCAAAAAAAAATAGCTGAGCACAAGTGGAGGAAAACAAAACCATAAATCCATGTTGACAACCCCAAACACCACCTCACTGTTTTTATGAAACAAGTTAGAACTTCCTGACAAGCTTCAAACTGCTTCTTCAGTGCTGGTGAAACATTAGCCATCACGGAACACTTAAGTTTTTTTTTTTTTTTTTTTGGCTATTGCTTTTCCCAGTCTTTGGCCCTTTGAGAAATAATTGTTTTCCTCAAGCTACTGCTTCAGAATGTATTTGCACTCAGTATTAGAGCTCCATTTATTATTCCTGCAGCAAAAGAACAGGCAACACCAGGGTACCTGAATAAAGCTTCATAAAAGTATCATGATGAGGTGCTGTTTTTAAAGCTAAACTGAAAGTGGAGTTCTTCTCTCTTTTTGTGTAAGTAAATATGAACTATAAGAATGCTAATGCTTTTCTGCATACTATTTAACATTTCAAAAGAGGATTAAACTGTTTTTGGATATTTATAGAAAACACATCTAGGCTTCAAGAAGTGTGTTTCTCATGGCATTAGTTGACTGACATGTGAGAGCCAGCATTGCTAGGAGACACATGGTCAGCCTTTGTGGCGCACAACTGACCCAAGAACATGATACTGTATAATTCTTGACACGAAGCCCTTTTTTCCCCTTGCTTTTACATCAGGACCCAAATCTGAGAACATAAACCCAAAGTCCAGTTTGATCACTGTGGACACTGTGTAATGTACCCAGACAGGGTACACTGATCCACACTTCACTATAAAAGATGGTCTTGAATACGGTTCCTGTGTACTTCAGTAGTGTACGCATAAGGTGTGAACACCACGTGTACCAAAATGTGTCAGTGAGCTGCTATGTAACATGACTACAAGGAATCTATTACTGGTTATGAAACAGACTCAATTTAATATTGATGCCTCTATATCAGATGGCAGCACAGCCCATCGCATACAGATCTGGCTTTACTGCTGCCTTCTACCTGTTCCCACGGGAGACAGAAAGCTCTGCACCTGACAGCAGCGGCTCCTCCTCTTAAGAGGTGCACAGCTTTACCTTGTTGCTCTGCGGTTCGATGCTGATGACGGTCCCAGGGGCAGCAGTGTATGTGTGCGGTGCCCTTTTCTACACTATGGCAACGTAGATCATGTAGATCCCGACGCAAGTGTATTCGAGAATGGAAAAACATTTCTTGTGTGAAAGCTGATTGGTGGGGGAGTGAAAGGGGGGTAAAGTCATACTCAAGCTGGGTACGAATAACTAGTACCAATATAAAAAAAAATCCTGTAGCTATTAGGGGTTGGAGAAAAAAAATGATACAGCATTGTATCCCAATATTTTTGTGCGGCAAAATCATATCACACAGTGCCAAGTAATGATTTTTTTATTATGTGAATTATTCATATCACAAATGCAAATTAAACCTTAGGTAGCCTACTAGAATAATATAATCAATTGCTTTTTCAGTCTACTTCATACATTTTGCTGCAAATAAAATGATGAGTGAGATGAATAGACGGAAAACTTTCTCATTACTTACTACAGATGTCGACAAAGTTTTTCTTCTGGGACATAATTTACAATTTAAAAAAAAATTAACAAATCACAATATACAGTACAGGCCAAAAGTTTGGACACACCTTCTCATTCAATGCGTTTTCTTTGTTTTCATGACTATTTACATTGTAGATTCTCACTGAAGGCATCAAAACTATGAATGAACACATGTGGAGTTATGTACTTAACAAAAAAAGGTGAAATAACTGAAAACATGTTTTATATTCTAGTTTCTTCAAAATAGCCACCCTTTGCTCTGATTACTGCTTTGCACACTCTTGGCATTCTCTCCATGAGCTTCAAGAGGTAGTCACCTGAAATGGTTT